AAAGATATTTAAAGTGCTTTCTCTCCTTCAGTGGATTTGGTTTGGTGCTGACTTAATTTTCATGCTAATTTATAGAGTTTACTATTGCTTTATTCTGTGCACAGCCCATATTTCTCCCTGTTTTCAAGTCTCCAAGGGACTGACTCCAGGAAGCAAGGAACATACATCACCAACAAACTGCTTTCAGTTAAGTGTTCATTATTCAGCAACCACGGATCCACTTTGTGGATTCCCCATGCCCTTTGTTTCTTCTCCTCAATCTCTCTACCTTTCTTTTGATGATTTCACTGCTCATTATCACCTCTACCAGAAGTGAGAAGGAAGGATGTGAAATTCAAACGAGATGAAAATGACTTTTAGAATTTATTTTGCGGATAAGGTGAGAAAGTTGAAAATGTTAGCTAAAATTAAACCTGGGGATTTCTAGTGACTTCACCCAGCTATGCTCGTCCCTGTTCAAGTGATGTTAATTGAATTCTGAAAATACAAGGACTATTCAACATTATTGTTACCCTTTTTCTTGGAATATATATAGAAAGAGGTGAAATGTGAAATCTAATCTACTAATAGAAAGTTTTCTAAAACTTAAAAGAGGTACTAATTAGAACAAGTTAATCCTTATAAAACTAGTCATAAATTAGATAATACAGCACTATGTGTTTGAGAAGACAAGTTTATCTGACAGTCATGTAACTTATTTGCATACACCTCACAGAAGAAAGGAAAACAGATGTAATTACTAAATTAGCTGTCCAGCTCTTTTAGCAAAAACAAACAATATGTTGATCCCCTAAGTCTCACAATTAGTTTCTCAATTACATAGGGTAAATGAAATAGGTTTTTTAAATTCACCTCTTACACTTCAAAAATAATTTAGCTAAAAGAGTAATTTCTTTAAAAGTATTTGTAAATATGAAAAATTAATAAATAATGTAAAAAAGTAAATGATTACAGTAATGCTAAAGACCAAAACTTTTGATCTTAGCAATAGACACCAGGAAAAAAAATGCTGCTTTTTCTAATTTACCTCCTAATATCAAATATGCTCGTAGGAATCCTAAAACCAAAATCTGGTACTATTTTAAGAAAAAAAAGAGAATTTGGAGAATTTGAATTGATTATGGATTGTTTCTTTTACTGTTAAGTAATATGCAAATTTATGGCTTTGTGATCCTCAGAATTACTCAGAACTTTTGAATGTGTTCAAGTATAAATACAAATATATCCACATAATATATTTGAAGTCAACAAATTGGGAGAGCTAAGCTAGCCAATCACAGGTAAGTTGTGTTGATGTCTATGTACCCATTTTGGATAACAATCGGCTAATGGAGCTTTCCATTCAAAATGACATCATATCACAAATCCATGTCTCCAATAATGTTGCTGTAGGTGAATGATAAATGTTTGCTGAATTGAAATATTTTAAATTCATATAAGCCTTAGATCTACTCATTCAAGTAATAAGCCTATACCAGGGTAGAAAGATTAGGCATGTACTCTGTCACAGATCTAATCATAGACAATGGATAAGTATGGAATAGCCTTAACATAAGGTAATATTCTAACTTCATATTTGCTTACATCTGAATTAAGCAGAACATATACTGTATTATAGTTCACAAATAGTTTTAATTATCAATGTATATATTAATTATATAGAACTTTGTAGGTATACAATTATTAAAATACTTTACATGGTGCAATGAAAATTAGATGAAAAATATGTATTACAGCTGCTTGTAAAACATAGGATAGAAAAACTTTAGGTGTTTTATAATAGACAGGATGTTTACTAAGTGTACAAATTTGAAAGATGATATCTTGGTAGATATACATAATCATGCAGGCATTTTTATAATTAGATAAAACCAAGAGAAGACTTGCAGTAAGTGATAAACATTATTAACCTTTAGTGATATAATGAAATAAATAACAATCAAATTAATCTGTGCATCATTATACAGCATCTGATAAAGACAGATATGAAATAAGCCATTTCATGTATACATGTGCATTTAGTATGTGGGAAAATTTTTTGTAAGAAATTGAAACAGATGCGATGACTTGCCTAAAGTCGCTTAGAAATTTAGCAACAGCTGTAGAATGGAATACAAATCACTTACCTCAGTTCAGAGGACCAGCTATTGTATTATGTTTTCCTTGTCTATAGAAAAAAATAGGCTTGAGAGACACATAATCTAACTATTCTTCTAGGTTTGTTTTTACAAAACACCTGCAAAGCAGGTCCAGAGCAACTGAGATATCTGAGAAGTTCACAAGTATTATTTTCAAGGAACCACTCACATGCAAGCTCTCGAAGTCATCTTTAGAAAGAAGTGTAGAACACCAGATGGCAGGTCACAGGGCTGGCAGCATGAGGAATGGGAGTTTGGGAAAGATTTCACAATCCCAAGAAGATTATAGATAAGAAGAATCTAGGTCTTTTTATACTTCTTTGAGCCAATTAAGAAGCAGAAATCATTATGAAACCTCTCTTCACATCTTGAAAGAGGTAGATAATAAGTAGTTCAATTAAGAGTTCAACATGTGCCATGTAAGACTGCCTAGCCTTGTGCCAAGATCTGCCAGACTTGATGACAAACTTCCATTCAGGATATTTGCAAGCAGCACAGTAACTTAAAACAAAGGTGGTTCTTACTGTCATTCCAAGCATTATTTCCATAATGTGTTCAGTTCCTGTATTTCAGTGTACATGAATAGCTTTTGCTAAAGTTCATATGTTCATACATTGAGAAATAACCTAAGACAAATTATGGCTGAATAGGTAGGTTTCTTTTCATCTTAACAAAAGAGAACATTAGTAAACTTTTCCATAAAGAACAGCTAGTTGATATGGCCAGAAGATAAGATTCTGCTGTGACAGTGTAGGAAAACACTTCTAAAGATTTATTCATACTAAAAATATCCACTGCAAAGTAGAAAAGAAAGAGCTTCTGAATCCAGGAAAATGATAGACAGTTGAGAATTTAATTACAAGGGGAGAATGTTACTCCAGTCAGATTGTCTTCTGTCTTCATAAACAATAGCTCCAGAGTGACATCTTCATAAATAAAGAAAAAAACTTCCTGTTTTTGTTTACACACACACACACACACACAAAACCAAAACAAAACAAAAAACCCAGTGGGTGACCAGAGTATGCACTTGGAGAAGGCATGCACTGTGTGGAATATACAGCCTAGGGTATTTGTTATTTGCCTAGGTGCATGATTACTTCAGATTATAGGGCCCCAACTGTTTATCAACTGCCTAATTCTGGCCATGTGCCCCATACTTCTAGAAGCTATAAGTATTGCCTGAAGACACAAACTAAACGCACTTCAGAAGGAGTTTGTTACTGATTTTTCGAGTCAGATAGGTTTCTGCTACAAACCTCAGTGTAAATATTTACCAATAATGGTAAAAGTTCAGCTGTAGGGCAGAGCTAGAAGCTGAAAAATCAAAGAGGAGGAAAAATCAGGCCTTCCTGACTGTGATTTACTGCCTGTATATGGCCTTAAATATGGATGTGTGCATCCATGTATGTATGTGAGTTACCACTTGGTCAGCATTTCATTTCCAAAGGAAAGAGCTTGAAAGAACTTATTTTATGATCCATGTTCATTTCACATGTCAGGTTCATATTATAGTTTTATTTGTTCATTTTATTCACTTGATCATAACAAGTTATTATACACCTGGTATTCTGATGTAGTGCACTGTTGATATTTAGGACTCTGTCTTTAGGATTAGTGGAAGTGTGGAGAAAATAGTAAGGGTCAGAAACAAAACAATTATCTCACCCAAATAATTTCTATTCAAGTTGTCATATGGTAGCACATTAAAGTAGTTCCTTTGGGAAGCACAGAAAACTGGTATTTTTCCCAACTCAAAAGGAAGACCTTTTTCTATTCTGGACTTACAGTCACTGGTCATACAGCAGGCAATGTTTCATGTTTAGGGCAGTGAAAGACATTATCTGGAAGCCTAGGAATGAGGAGAATTGGCTATTCAGGGAAAGGCTGAATGGTTTTTCCTATTACCTACATGGTACATGGCATCCTGCAGATCAAAAATGCACTGGGGTGTCCCACCAGCTATGATTTTATAAATGAGCAAGCAAGCCTAGGGGTTAAGTGATTCCACGGTCACATGGCTATTTAGGATCAGAGCCAAGAAAGGGTGTCCAAGGATCTTGCATCACACTCTTCCAAGATTTCTTTTTAAAGGGTCACTTTCCCAGTAGGCATTCAGAGGAATGGGGTGTGGAGTGCAGAGAAGTAATCATTAGAAAAGCTACAATTTTTTACAGAAGCTTCAACCAGTGGCCTTGCTCCCTGAAATATCCCCATTAGAGAAAGATGTTGCTTGCAAGCAGAACCACCTAGGTTACCACAGCCCCTCCTCCGTTCTTTCTTTCATCCAGAAGAGCTGGACCTCTAAAATAAAACCACAAGGCAGGAAGACATACAGATACACTTGTGCCTACTTCTGCTAGGAAATTAGAAGCTCGGGCACCATCACTAAGGAAGATTCGAAGTCGAAGCTTGTGGAATCCGTCACTGAATTCATATGTTTGCAGGAAAGAAGTTGACAGTCCTCTCCCCTGAGAAAAGTGCATGTTCTTCCAGTGTGCAAGTGTGGCAGGATCCCAGTCTCTGGGAGGAATTGGCTGGCGGCAAGTAGGGCTTTAGGGGACTTGCGATTTCTGTGATACAGTCTCTCTCTCTCTCTCTCTCTCTCTCTCTCTCTCTCTCTCTCTCTCTCTCTCTCTCTCTCCTCTCTCATGCAGGCTAACTTATTTCTTTTAATTTTCCCTTTCTGCTCTCCTGTTAGCAACCTGTGGACTTGGGATCTGACTGGCGCAGCGGGGAGGGAGGCTGGTAAGCACGCACTCTGGTGCCGGATCCGGCGGCACCTCGTCGCAGTCTTCAGACGCAAGTCCCACATTCCGGCTCTTCTGGGGGGATCTGGACGTTCTCGCCCCTGAGGCTGGAAATTGCAAATCTGCTCTTGGGCCCTTCTCCTTCCTACCCCTCCCCCTTAATTCCGGCCCGTCGTGACAAGGCTGCCACTATTGGCTGAAGTTCCCCAGCGATTTGCATGAACGGAGAGGGAGTGTCTTGGGCCGCCCTCCCTTCAAGAGCGCGCTGACTGCGGCCACCCTGGGAATGCGCAGCCGAGGGAATGCGCGCAGCTCGCGGGCTCTGGCAGTGAGCTGGCGCCCGGAGACCTGGCACCCGCGCCTGGATATGGGGCGTCTACCTCGTCCCAGGAGCAGCACCAGCCACAGGAACCTGCCGGTAAGGGTTTAGCAACCCCGCGACCGAGACAAGTTGCAGTACTACGAAGGAGCTCCTACTCCTTGTTGGTTTCCCAAACCTTTTACCTTAATCCAAACTTCATGGGAAAGCCAGAGGGAGGGAGAAAGAGTTTGGGGAAATGTGTCTACATTTTAACAAGGAATAGCCAAGTCCTCGGGTCTGAAGTGAGTGGAAGTTTCTGAAGCAGAGATACAGTCAGATGAGGTGGAGGGAGTCAGGGTGCCCTCAATCCGCTTTAGGCACCGCGGTTTGGAGATTGTTTCCTGTTGCCTGCGTCTGGCTCTGCTTGTCCGCTGCAGTTGACAAACTGTTTTTGCATAATCATTTTCCGTGTTTAATCCTGGGGTGGAGGGGATTAGTGAAGGCTGGGTAAAAGATGGAGATCCGGATCTTTTATATTCGATTTTACATGTGTGGTAAAATGAAAATCACTCTTCCGACCTACAGCGTTGAGGGGGAGGGGGATGCCAGCTGGGGAGAGTGGCTATGTTTTCATTGTCATTATTATTATCCTTGTCGTTATCATTGTTATCTCTCTCCTTCGTTTGGCTGGTCTCATGGAAAGGAAAGGAACACAGTTAGTGTTAGGACCCTAACGATGGAATCTTTCCACTGAGAACGAAGTCGCCCGCCCCCCAGGCGCAGCACTATCTGCCCCTAGGCCCTCCCGGCTGGGGTGGTTGCCCTGTCGCGTGGCGCATCTCTAAGTGGAGTGCCCTCCGCTCTGGCGCGCGTTTCCAGGGGTGCTTTCTGGATTGGCTCCCAAAGGTTAGCTGGCAAGAGGGTGGTGATGGTGGAACTTGGGGGTTGCGGATAGAAAATGAACAGAGGAAAAAAAAAAAAAAAAGAAAAAGAAAAAAGAAAAAAGTTCTGCAGCCAGTGCTGCCCCGAGAAGCAAGTGTTTTCTTCACCCCTTTCTGAGGAGAGGTTTTTACTCCTGGAAACAGGGGTGAAGGCAGCACTGCCCCCGGGGGCACTGGCTTTTATTTCCGCGTGTGTGTAATGAACCCGCTCCCCTGCCTCTCCTCCAGCATGTGTTTCTGTTTGTCCTCTTCGTGGGACCCTTCCACTGCCTCGCGAGCTACAGCCGGGCCACGGAGCTTTTGTACAGCCTGAACGAGGGACTGCCCGCGGGGGTGCTGATCGGCAGCCTGGCCGAGGACCTGAGGCTGGTGCCGCGAGCCTCCGGCAGACAGAACCAGCAGGTGCAATCCCCAGAGCACGCTGGTACGGAGTGGGACCCGCCTCTGTCTTTCAGCCTGGCTTCTGGGAGACTGAGTGGCCAGTACGTGACCCTAGACAACCGTTCTGGGGAACTGCACACTTCTGCACGGGAGATAGACAGAGAAGCCCTGTGTCTTGAAGGGGGTGGAGGAGCTGCCTGGGGCAGCAGCGTTTCTATTTCCTCCTCTCCTTCCTCTGACTCTTGCCTTTTGCTTCTGGATGTGCTGGTACTGCCTCAGGAATATTTTAGGTTTGTGAAGGTGAAGATTGCCATCAGGGACATCAATGACAATGCTCCACAGTTCCCTGTTTCCCAGATCTCAGTCTGGGTCCCAGAAAATGCACCTGTGAACACCAGGATGGCCATAGAGCATCCTGCTGTGGACCCGGATGTAGGCACTAATGGAGTGCAGACCTATCGCCTACTGGACTACCAGGGCATGTTCACCTTGGACGTGGAGGAGAACGAGAATGGAGAGCGCACTCCCTACCTAATTGTCATGGGTGCTCTGGATAGGGAAACTCAAGACCAGTATGTCAGCATCATCATAGCGGAGGATGGTGGGTCTCCACCGCTGCTGGGCAGTGCCACCCTCACCATTGGCATAAGTGACATTAATGACAACTGTCCTCTTTTCACAGACTCACAAATCAACGTGACTGTATATGGGAACGCTACAGTGGGCACTCCAGTTGCAGCTGTCCGAGCTGTAGATAGAGACTTGGGAAGCAATGCTCTAATCACCTACACGTACAGCCAGAAAGTTCCACAAGCATCCAAGGATTTATTCCACCTGGATGAAACTACTGGAGTCATTAAGCTCTTCAATATAATTGGGGGAAATGTCCTACAAACACACAAGCTCACCATCCTTGCTAATGGACCAGGCTGCATCCCTGCGGTGATCACTGCTCTGGTGTCCATTATCAAAGTCATTTTCAGGCCCCCTGAAATTGTCCCACGTTATATAGCAAATGAGATAGATGGTGTTGTTTATTTGAAAGAACTGGAACCTGTTAACACTCCAATTGCGTTCTTTACCATAAGAGATCCAGAAGGCAAATACAAGGTTAACTGCTACCTGGATGGTGAAGGGCCATTTAGGTTATCACCCTACAAACCATACAGTAATGAATATCTGCTGGAGACCACAAAACCTATGGACTATGAGCTACAGCAGTTCTATGAAGTAGCTGTGGTAGCCTGGAACTCCGAGGGATTTCATGTCAAAAGAATCATTAAAGTGCAGCTTCTAGATGACAATGATAATGCTCCTGTTTTCCTTCAGCCCTTGATAGAGCTAAGTATTGAAGAAAACAATGCACCCAATGCCTTCTTGACTAAGCTATATGCTACAGATGCTGACAGTGGAGAGAGAGGCCAAGTTTCATATTTTCTGGGACCAGATGCTCCATCGTATTTTTCCTTAGACAGTGTCACCGGAATTCTGACAGTCTCTACTCAGCTGGATCGAGAGGAAAAAGAAAAGTACAGGTACACAGTGAGAGCTGTTGACTGTGGAAAGCCGCCCAGAGAATCAGTAGCCACTGTGGCTCTTACCGTGTTGGATAAAAATGACAACAGTCCTAGATTTATCAACAAGGACTTCAGCTTTTTTGTGCCAGAAAACTTCCCAGGATACGGGGAAATTGGTGTAATTAGTGTGACAGATGCTGACGCTGGACGCAATGGATGGGTTGCCCTCTCAGTGGTGAACCAGAGTGACATTTTTGTCATAGATACAGGAAAGGGCATGTTGAGAGCTAAAGTCTCCTTAGACAGGGAGCAGCAAAGCTCCTACACTTTGTGGGTTGAAGCAGTTGATGGGGGAGAGCCTCCTCTCTCCTCTTCCACAAAAATCACAATTCTTCTTCTTGATATCAATGACAACCCTCCTCTTGTTTTATTTCCTCAGTCTAATATGTCTTATCTTTTGGTACTGCCGTCTACTCTCCCTGGCTCCCCAGTCACAGAGGTTTATGCTGTTGATAAAGACACAGGAATGAATGCTGTTATAGCTTATAGCATTATAGGAAGAAGAGGTCCCAGGCCTGAGTCCTTTAGGATTGACCCTAAAACTGGTAACATCACTTTGGAAGAGGCATTGCTGCAGACAGATTATGGACTGCATCGATTGCTGGTGAAAGTGAGTGACCATGGTTACCCTGAGCCCCTCCATTCTACGGTCATGGTCAACCTGTTTGTCAATGACACAGTTAGTAATGAGAGCTATATTGAAAGTCTTCTAAGAAAAGAACCAGAAATTAATATAGAGGAGAAAGAACCACAAATCTCCATACAACCAACTCACAGGAAAGTAGAATCTGTGTCCTGTATGCCTACATTAGTAGCTCTGTCCATAATAAGCTTGGGTTCCATCACTCTAGTAACAGGGATGGGCATATACATCTGCTTAAGAAAAGGGAAAAAACATCACAGGGAAGATGAAAATTTGGAAGTGCAAATTCCACTAAAAGGAAAAATTGACTTGCATATGAGAGAGAGGAAACCAATGGATATTTCTAATATTTGATATATTAATGTGGATTAACACACAGAGATATTTCAGGTGACTTTGGATACTTTTCATCACAAACAAGAGTGTGCAGATCCAATGAAGGACAACTAATTTATAACTTGTACTATATTGTAAATAGCTGTTTATGAGTTTTTAAATTTAAATACAGAGGTTATAAAATGTGTACAGCATTTTTAAATGAAAATTAATACTAACAGATATAGAATTGTTATTTATAAAAAAAAAAAAAAAAGAGCTTGGACATGATGTACAGCTTTCATACACCAAGCAGATGATTGACAAAACCTGACTAAGGTAAGAAAATGGTACTTTTTTTTTCGGTCTAAAAGTTGTTTCCCCACAAGAGGGCATCAGCTGCTCCTTTGCAGGGAAATGTTTGAAGTATTGTACATGATAGTTGTACATGAAATTAATGAGAGTATATTTTAAATATATTGTTTTTAGCATTAAGAAAACATGAAATTAAATTGAATTTTGCCCTACTTCAATATATGATAAAACGCACTTGTCAACAGAATGTTTATTACCTCAAAGGTACATTATGTATAGTTTCAAAGAGAAGGCATTAAAAAGAAGTGCAATTCCTTTTTAGCAAGGATTAAAACATTGCCGTGTGTTACTAATTTAACCTGCTGAAGAGTATTTTATTTTCTGTGTACTCAAATTGCTTTCTGTTTACTTTACCATTGCACTTATTATGATTACAGGGGGAAATATATTATTCTTCCTTAAAGAAAATGTAACTAGAAATTGTGCCCAAGAAAAACAGCCAGAAGCAAATAAATGTTTCAATTTTTAGTTGCTTCATAGGTGTTCATGACATTTTAGTACTTTCACAATATGTCAGTACTATTTCGTGCTTGGGTTGAATATTAGATTTCTCTATTCTTAAACTCATCCATCATATAAGAAAAATTTAAAAATCACATTACAGTTGAATTATTCTAGAAGCTAGTGTATACTACTGGTTGTTTTAGTTGGACATTTTATATGAAAGTTATACTTCCTTTTTGTCATTGTTTAGGTTTCCTGGCTACCATTTTTGGATTCCTTTCTTTGGCTATGGCTTAAGTCCAAGAGTTTATTTGTAAGCCCAGCAGCAGATTCCTTTGATAATTTAGCTTTTATTGAATCTTTTGCAACAAAGAAAGCTGGCTCATCAGTGATTATCATTTTACTTTGTGTGAAATGGAAACTTTATTTTACATGAGAAGTATAGTAAAATTATCTGTATAAACAAGGAATGTAGTAGTTGAAACTGAATCATTTTACTTTTTGGCATCATGTGTCTGTACTGTACCAAAAGTGTTTGTATGTCTGCAAATTAAATGTATATATTTTCATAATTTTTTTCTTATTTTTACCATTTTATATTTGAACATGGGCTTATTCTTTCACTGAAGTGCCTATTATTGGCATCTGTTTGTTTTTAGGGTTAAATGTGGGCAAAACATAGCATTCTTAAATGCTGAAGTTTATATTAAACTAATTTATTACTCAACTAAAAAGTGGGTAAATTATGTATATAGGTAGTTATAAACATATTGGTAGAAATACTGAATGCCTATATCTTCAATATAAACTCATATGAAAATTTGCACTTATGCATGTGCATATAAATGTATATTAATTTATTATAGATTTAATATTGATTATAAACTTTCCTTTTACCACATATAACAAATTCCTTGCTGTGTTTTAATAGATGGAAAACATTTTTAAAGTAAAAATGCACTGCAAAAAAGAATTGAATGGAAATGTCCAAGATCACTTAATTCATTTTTCTTGTTTACTTCAGTATAAGAATTCAAATATAATAATACACATATGAGACAACACAATCTGTTACAAAAATAAACATTTTTATTGTAAATTCCTTTTATTAAAGAAGCACTTGAACTAAGAGACTAAGATAATTTAACCCCAAAAACTTTTTATTCGTAATTGATGTAAGCATTGAAGAAAACCATTCTTTTCCGCTCGTATTATAGTTCTATTTTTTTAAAGGAAGAAACAGCATAAGACACAAATAACACCATTTTTAAAAACCCTAAATACTCCATGTAATGACTTTTAGCTTCACTATAAATTTAAAGAAAAAAGTATTCTGTTCATTTCTAAATATGAAGAAAGTTCATGTATTTTGGGATTGGACTTCATCTCCAGCATGAGAAATATCTGTAACCTTAATAAAAAGTTGTATTTCTGAATAACTTCTTGTTACAGGATTTCCTTTACAAAAACATCTCATTCACATGAAAAACATTAATAACAGGGAAAGCTAAAGTAAATTAAGCTGAAAAATAAAAGCCCCTTTTTACTAACACCTTGTGCTAGAACAGTTGCCAAAATGTATGCTAATCATGTCAATGTTAGTTGAGCTGGCACAAAAATAAATGTTCCATTCATTAAAAATCCTACTATCCATTTAACAGTTTGAGATCCAGTGGGTTCTCCTTGCCCAATTAATGAAGAAGAGATTGCTCTGATCTTTGTACTGCCAAATACATCTTTATAACAGAAAAAATTGTTCTTTTAGTTTGAACTGGGAAATTGAAATCCAACATAGTAATTTCAGCTACAGAGGCAAAAGCAATTTACATATCAAACGTTATTTGACCCTTTAGAGTAGATTTACCCAATCTTTTAAAAAATCTTGCAGTTATGCTGTTATCAATAATGACAAAAAAAGGAAAGGAAAAAATATCAACACGTGTTTAAAACAGTTTTATAGTGTTAGGGTATTTAAAATAAATCCCAATACTTAGTGTTTTAGATGACTTTGTGCGCATTTTGTGAAAACACTAGGCATGATTAACTATGAAATAACATCACCGGAAGCAGTGTTAAGTGTAGTGTATGAAGGCATCTTGATTTTTTTTTTTTTTGTTTGTTTTTTGTTTTTCTCCGGTACCGGGAACCGAACTCACGACCTTGCGCTTGCCAGGCAGGCGCTTTGCCGCTGAGCTAAATCCCCAGCCCCAAGGCACCTTGATTGCAGGAAGGTCACTCAGAAGGGTGGTAATTTGTGCTTCCAGAAAATGTCTAAATTGGTAACTGTATAAGGAGGGATCAAGAAATCCTGTCCTCTGGAGATTCGGAGTCTCAGCTCTCCTCAGTTAGGTGAGAAGTCTGGGGTCCTGAGGTTTGGCAGACAATGGGTAACATAATACACACCAGGGCCACGTGCTGCTCTTATCACTGGACAGCCTCAGTTCATGGAGGCCAGAGACACAAACATCCAAGCATTTTCTTCTCTCTCAGCTAGATTTGCTCATGGCAAAATAGCAGCGTATTGTACAAAATGCCACACTGTTGACTTTTACGATCTCTGCCTTCACATGCAGAGTCAATGAATATTACTGAAAAGAAGGGAACTGACAGTCATGCATGTGGACTCATAACAGGAAAAAAAAATCAATTAAAACCATTCCTAATTACTGATGAAAAAGATCCACTATAAGGTTTTTATGATAAGATCATGTACATTTTTAAATGGATATATATATATGCATATATATACTCTACAAACATTTTCAAATGTTGCTTATTTATAATTGTTCTTCAAATATTAACAATTTTCTTTTCTTTAATAAATAAGCAGGTATACTGGCTCATAGCTGTAACCCCAGCACTGCGGGAAGCTGATACAGCAAGATCACTGCAAGTATAAGGCCAGACTGAGCAAGGCCCTGTCTTAAATAAATAAACAGACAAATAAACAGCAAACTAACTCTTAAATTGGGAATGACTTCTTTTAAGGGTATAAAACAAAATGAAGGAATTTTAAGATAACCCTCTTGTTTAGAAGAACATTGTGGTGATATGAAAAATTCATTCGTTCATTCCGTGCATATTTAGTACCCATAATTAACAGAGATTTAACTGAAAAGCAGAAAGCACCTCTTAATGAACTTGCATTATGGTATGGAAGTCCAGTAAGAAAACAAAATATCAAAATATTGCATGTGATAAATGCCTATTCCCTGGATGCCATGTAAACAATACTTAATGCAGTCTTAGAAAGCCAGAAAACATGCCATAATGGAAGTGATTTCTGTTTTGAGCCCTCCTCAGAGGAAGTGTTGTCCAAATTGAGTCTTAGAGAGGAAACATTGGCCAGGAGGAAACCATCAGAGAGGAAAGAATGATGTTTGAAGGAGAAATAGGGTCCATGGCACACATGTAGGAGTTAATATGTCATGCTTGAAGAACCACAAGTACTACAGTTCTTTGTGACTACAAGAATAAAAAGAACAAAATAGATTGTGAAAAGCAAAGTCAGATAGAGGAGGTAGAGATTTTAAAATGTTTTGATGAAGGAGTTTGTGCTCTCAAAGGCCATTTAATCAAGTCTGGAGTTTGTCTTGAGGAAGATTATAGATAATGGTTTATAGGTTTGATGTCAATTTAAGTGAAAGATAGGACTTTAAATCAGAGAATATTAGATACATTATAGCATAAAATAGGAGGTAAATAATGTACAGCTGGTAAAAGAACTTGAGATAATATAGAATTGATCTACATAGGACAATCAGATAGTATATAGCTTCTATAATTTGTTTTTGAGCCATTTTTATAAATTTGAAAAAATAAGGAACTGATTCAGTAAACATTAACACAGCAATAAAATAATTGGAGCAATAGCAACTTTATGTAGTGTTGCATTTTATAACACAGATAGAATTATAAAGATACTAATTTACCCAGTTTATTTCAGATTTATGATTGTCAATTCCATTCAATTTACCAAACATTAATGTGTATCCATGTGGTAGATATCCAATTATGAGGTTGACCTCTTCACAGATATTTTATACCAGGCATTTTAATTATTTTCCACAGCTGCACTAAATATATACACATACAGAAGAGTCAAGATGAAAGCTTAACAAAAAAGACAATAAAATGTCAGTGGACAATGTACAGTACAGATACAATTTCAGCTAATGTACAAATACCAAGAAAGAATGATAAGACTGTCACAAGTTGTTTTGAACAAGGTCTAGGAAATATGAACACAAGAAATAACAAATAATAGCTATGAAGTTATCAGACCTTGAGTTATAAAATCAGTTTGGAATGAAACAAATCACTGAATGTATCTCTTGTTTCAGTCTTGCTTAATATAAAAAATTAATAAAACAATATTCACTTAATAGAACTTAATATTCACTAAATTTTAAAATCCAGAATAAACAGAGTACATATAAAAACAGTATTGTGGACCATCCTATTTTCAAGAAATCTCCGCTTGCCCTTCTTTCCAATCAATTTTCTGTAGTTTGTGGAAATTATGAACATATTCTTCATCAATATATAACATTGAAATTAAATGGGTTGTAATTTATAAAAATTTCCACAAACATTTATTAATATTTTCATTGGAATTCAAAAGTGTGCTGTATTTCTACTAGTTTATTTATTTATTTATTTATTCTCTTATGATATTCATTCAAGTAATATTTTTACTATAGGTCAAAAGTCCACAAAATTAACATTTCAGTTAACATTTTAGTTAATTAGTTAATTAGTTGAAAGCCTATATGCTGAACAAAATATAACATATTTTTCCTCATTATGTGTTTCATAGGCACTTTCACTTTTTTCTTTTCCTTTTTTCACATGGTGATTTTGTACCTCCCTTTCCATTTGGAAATCGCAAAGGCAAGGATCATGATCTGAATTTTCAAACCATGGAATTTTATAGATAACTTAGTCCAATCTCATTTTAATAAAATTTTAATAAAATGATTAATCATTTAATAAAATGACTAGAATCTAACAAAATTATTAGAAGAAACTAATAAAATCTGGTAATAAAATAGAAGAAAAAAGCAGAAGAAAAATAAAAATACACGTGTCATTAGCTAATTTGGAATCATTACGTAGGAAATAAAAGTCAGTAAAACCTATAAATGTAAAAGCAAAAAGGCAAATAAGGCATATGAGTGGTAAGAAAAATGAAGGTAAAACCAGGATGAGAAATGTTCAGAGGTACTCAGTAACAGGAGTTCTCAATACCAAAATCACTTGGAAACATTACCTTATTCCTTACAATTTAGGGTGTAATTCTCTGAAGCTTCAAAAAGTAAAAACTATATACATTAACCAGTAATTTATTAAATATGTTTAATTTAGCCTATGCTCATTAAAAGCAAGTCATTATGTTAGCTACAGGCCCAAGTTTCCCTACATTCTCAAAAGAATTAGTCTCCAGTTTGAAAGAACCAATGAAAATTGTCACATCTAATGTGGAATTTTTTAGGTAATGTCTTTCCATGTGGTTAGGTTTGTGCTGAACTCACTATGTAGCTCAGGCTAACCTCAACCATGTAACCATCTCCTGCCTCAGCCTCCTTAGTTGTGGAATTACAAGTGGATGACATCATGCCAGGCTATAAGGTGGAATATTTCTCACCTGATATTTCTTCTCCACTTGAAACTCTACATGAACACTTTTACTGGAGAAAGACCAGGATGATTGTGACAGATAAAAGTGCTATCTATTTATATGTACTACAGGGAAACCAGTTTTAATCTCCTTACTATTTGGAGATTAAAATTGTTAGGGGAATATATTCTTTACAATATATGTGAAAGGACAAATTTGAAGACTCTTATACATGTATATATTCTCCTCATTGAGAAAATTAGAATTTCCTGTAGCTCCCAAGCCCAACATTTCTTAAACTATATCTGTCTGACTATCTATCTATCTATCTATCTATATCATCTATCTATCTATCCACCCATGTAATGAGCACTGTGAAGGAGCTACTCCTCTCAAATGCATCACAAATTTATATTTCTTTTAAAGTATAATGCTTGTATTTATTGATTATACATATATAAAAATAGCACTTCCACTATATAGTGGATTCCTTGGGAAAATTTTGTTTTTGTTTGCATTTGGTAATAAACATGACCATGGAGCCTTTTCCCACACAAACACGAAAATGGCCATTTATCTCTGAATTTTGAAACAATTAAATTCATGAACTGAAATATCACTCTATTTAAAAAATTATGCCTATTTTTATTATGCAAATATACATTCATTATGCCATTTTAAATTTAGTTTTTTCTTAATATGCTTTCTTGGCAGTGTGAGGTTTGGATTTAATCACTTTGGGAATTGTTATGTAATGCTTTCAAATAATTCTATTACTTTTTTTCAATGTTATATCTGATGAAATGTATTAGGAAAAGA